CTATGATAACTCCATGAATAAAAGATGCTATTACATAGAAGCTTGTGAAGGCACTAAAGTCCTATTTTATTGAAGAAAAGGTTAATGCACTAGTAATATAGGTCTCAGTTGAAGAACTTGCTATTCAAGAGGTTGATACATCATTGATGAGCTTGAGAAAGTTGAAAAAATAAAAATTCATGCTCATTCTGTAGTTGTTGCTGAGGGACCATTAGAAGAGTAGGAAGCCAGAGTCTAATCAGAGCTCAATCAGTTGGAAGAAAAGTTGAAGGCCAAGCATCAAGAAAATAAAGCTTAAAAGAAGAAGTAAGATAAAATTAAGAAATAAACTTTGTAATACTAAAATCTCTTAAGTGTAAGATATATGAAAAATTTGAGTTTCTCAAATTTTAAGTTTCTCAAAATTTGCTATGATTTAATTGCAAGACCCAAATTTTGAAGCTTTATTGAGCCACCTTCAACTTCAAGTTGAATATATACAAGTCCAATCTATGAAGTTCATACAATGATGTTGCCAAAACAAGGATGTAAAGTGGAGGTTGGGACTATAGACAGCGCTCAGAGACAAAGGCTAGGAAAATTAGAAAATGAGAGAACAATAGTGACAACTAGGAACAAGGAAACAAGAGCAATAGCTGGATATGAGAGAAATGGCGGAGATAGCTAGGAATAAAAAAAATAAGAATGGAAACTTAAGAGGTGTAATAATGTGGGTTAATTTAGTAAAAATTTAGATTGCTTTATCATTCTCTTATATATATATATATATATATATATATATATATATGTAGATAAAGTATGATGGTAAATGTTTTTTTTTTTTTTTTTTTAGATTTGTTTGACAAATTCTATTGTTGTAAGAAGCAATAATAGTTCTTATACATCTATAAACAGTATAAATTAGGTTTTTATCACAATCTCACTTTAGATGCTACTACCAAATCAAAGATCATTAATTGATAGTTATTAATTCTTAAGAATTGATTATTTAAATTATTGAATATTATAAAGGGGCGTAGATTTAATTGTAATAGAAATTAGGAATATTGATGCTCAGATCCTAATAAAATTTTAGTTATATTTTTATAAACTAATCAAGAAGTATTAACATCTATTGTACAAAAGCACTTTAAATAGCTAAAATATAACAAAGGATGTGGCACCATGATGTCTTTTGTGGTAGTTACATTGGATATAGTAGCTAGTATTATTGGTAATAATTTAATAAATACATAAAAATATAAAATAAAGAGGAATTTTCACAAGACAAATTGAAAGAAAAAAATGACTTAGATTTAATCCTATTAGACAACAGCGAGAATAAAGACCTTAACAATAAAAACATCAATGAAATCATACTACAAAGTTTTTCAAAAAGATTTAGGAGTTTCTTACTAGATAATTTATACCATATTTGAAAGCCAATAATAGAATTACCTAATAAAAATTTAAATATCTAAAATATATTTTTATTATATTCAATTTTTTAGATGAAAAATCTAAAGAATTAATCCTTGAATAATATTTTTTATAATTCAAAGCAAAAAGAGGCATATATAAAAAATTAATTAATTAATTAAATTAAATTAAATATACTTAATATCTAAAATTTAAATTACAAGGTAGTCAAAAATTTATGATTATAGAATTTTTATAAATTTATACATGGAACTTTCAACAACTTGTAGATTTTTATTTTGTTATTTTAACACTATTAAAAAGCAAGGCAAAATTAATAATTTAAATAACATTTAAGAGACTACTTGATGACTTTAAATCATTGATTAGTTTTATATTTAAATAGCTTAATATTTGTTTTTAGAAAAAATTGGTAATAACTTAGTAAATAAATATCTTAGGTTTTGCATTCTTTTAGATCCTAAACATAATTTATAATTTTTTTAGAAATATTAATTCTATAATAAAATAAGAAAAAAATATTTTATAAACTATAATTATTTATCTAATAGATATTAATATTTTTTAGACATTTATTATGGTATTAAATATTTTAAAGATTTTTTTAAATTAATAAATCAAAAAATCTAATTGAATCAATTTATTGTAATATTCTATAAAATATAACCAATACCAATAAAAAAATACGACAAGAAAATACTTTATTTCATCTATTTGCTTAAAATCTCTTTTGATTGATTATTCTTAGTTTATAAGACTTAAATAATCCTATGGTATATTTTTGCCTCACTTAAGTAATTGTGGCTTTGATTAAGTTGCACATTCCATACAAACCAGCATTTTCATGTATATTGAAATTCATAATTAAATTGGCAATCAATAGCAACCAACATAGCTCATAGCAATAAGAAATCCTTTGCAACAAGACAAAGAACTACTACACTAAATACAAATAAGCTTTAATAACCATCCACAAGATCTTCAAAACAGAAATTCTTTAATTGCTTGAAGAATCCATGGTCTCATATCTCTTACATACAATAAGATATTAGAACTTCAATTTGCATTTGTCCTTTAAATCAACAACTACAAAGAAACTCTTTTTAGCACACTACAGCACCTCATTTTTCTAATTATAAACAATATAAAAACATGGATGGGTGGTCTATTGATTCAACCTTATTTTTACATATCTACAAAGAGAGAGCCATCTTAACCACTCTATTGGATTACTTCTAAGGTTAATATTTCCTATTTACATCCCTAGAAAGAAGTTCAATTTTTAATATTTAACTCTTAGCAAGAAAAACATTTATATTGCAATAAAACTTACAAAAGAGTATTCTACAAGACTCCATATATATATTGGCTAAGTCCTCCACCACATCAAAATATAAAATCTTCTAATTAAGATATAAGCCAAAACCTATATTCTTAATTTTAGATTATATGTATAAAATTAAACATCCATTTATATAATATAAAATAGCTTAACAATCCCTAAAAGAACACACAATTCAAACACTATATTAAATATGTCCAATTGACATGAGATGTCAATAACAAAAAGTTAGTAATATCAATGTAAGTGAATTTTATTAAAGACTATTGATAGAAGTTTTGTGTCATATTTTAAAGTTGTGCTAATATATACACATGAAAAAGATAGAACTATCCAAGCTGGATATGTATTTTAATTTATATTGCTTTTAAGTATTTGATATTTTTTTGTTAATCTTCTCTTCGACAACAAAATACTATAGTTTTTTTTTTTTAAATATTTTTGAAATAAAAAATTGGTTTTGTAAATGATTATGCTTCTAGCAATTACTACGATAAAAAATAATTTATGAAAAATTCTATATTTATTTTTAATTAAGAATATTAGCTAGATGTTGGTAGAAATTTTGAATATAGTGAAAACATAGAAGAAAAATCTTCTCTTTGTAATAGAAATTTATCCTCTATGAATGAAAATTCTTGAGACAACCTCAAACTTAATCTTAATTTAAATGCTTATTTTAAAAGAAATATTTTTATTACATACTCATAAGAAATAAAAATAAAAATAACATACATGTCTTAGTCTCTTAAGTATAAAGTGTCTATAAAGTTTTTAGATAATAAGGCAACATTCAATGCCATGACTATTTAATGGATATTAAAATCCATTATATCCATTGGTGCATCCCTTTAAAAAATTAAAAAATTAAAAAATTTAGAGCTCATTTGATTTAATTTTTTAATAACATACATCATCGAACCTCAAGTACATATTATATTATAAAACCATTGTTTATAATACTATGACTTCAAAATTTTAAACAAATATTAATACAACTTTGAAGCCATTAGCCAAAGACGTCAAAACAAACTAATCTACAACCTCTATTTAATACTATTAAAAAGAAAACAATTTTTCTTGAGGTGATAATTGATTTCTCAAAGAATACAATGTCAAAAAAGAGAACTTCTATGACAGCAACCTTCTATCACACCAATCCAAATCACATAACAGAATGGAGTTTTCAATGAAGAATCAGAAAGAGAATGGAACAAACTATAGAACAACACTTATTTGGCTTATTTGGCATAGAAGCTTTATTTTCATTAGTTAGAGGAAAAAACTAAGCAATGAATGCCCAATTTGCACTTTTGAATCTATAAAAACAATCCTTCATAGGTTATGGGAGTGTGAAATACCTCAACAAGTGTGAGATTGAGCTACAAACATTCCTACACTATATCAATGACTAAGGAACTAAAACTAGCACTTAAACATTTCCAAAGTTTGAACAAATTGTATTTGTAGATAACCTCTCCCAATTAAAGACACAAAAGTATTATGACATTCTTTTGGACCAATTGAGAAAATCTCAACAACAAGATCTTTAAATAAATAAATTGGTTAGAAGACAAATATAAAAAATAAAAAATACTTTAGCTTAGATGAATAGATTATTAAAAAAGCATATTGGATGTAAACAATAAAGCAGATTTAGAAAGGCCTAGAAAGGCCTGTGAACAAGCTAAAACTCTTGAAACAATTTGAGCATAAATAGATGAGAGACAATGAATTCGCATGCATTGATGTTGGCTTAAGAAAAGCACTCCACCTACTAATCTTCAACCCCAATATTGTTTCAAAGACAATGTATAATGGCTAAACAGCTTGTTCAATTAAAATAATAAATCTTCCATGTGAAAAGCCAGTTGAAGTGTTTGTGACAGACTTTACTCTTGTGTTTAGCCTTTTTACTTCTTGTGTGTTTCGGCTTTAACCTTCTTTTTGAAAATGTTACAGTGAATCGGGCTCTTCATCACAGTCAGAGATTAGCGTCTTCTGGGTTAGCAAGAGTGTTGGTATTGACATGATTCTCGTTGTTATGCCATAGTGATAAACCTACGATTCACTCATTATATCCAACTACGGGCGCACATTTTTACAGGATAATTCACTTTGCATTTTGTAACGCACCTCCGTAAATCCTTAAATCTTTAAAAGTTCACCAATAGATGTGAGAAAATGTGACCAATGCACCGCGAGGGATTGAGATACGGTAAGTACTCACAAGACAAGGTTGAGTTATGACGATGATCTCAGATTCATTTCAGAGTAGAACAACAGAACCTGCATTGAATAACCGTCTTACCAAATTCTATCTCACTTAGAATCATCTATTATACACCACAAGGCTACCACATTCGGGCAGCTGGAATGTTATCAAAATGCCTAACTACGTCTGTAGAAGACTTTCTTCCATCAATGGAACGCTTGCCAAGCATGTGCAAATACTGAATCACTTGTAGCTAGTAATGCTGGCACTTACTTTGCCTAACAAATCTCTAGTTGCTAAGTAAATGGATGAAACTCCACATTCTGGTGAACAGGGAGATGCTGCCCTTCCATGAACTAGCCAGGGTAATGTGTGCTGTGTTGCCGGGATAAACTCCATTAATCAAATTGATGTGTGCGAGAATTAAGTAAAGTACTTTCACCTGGTCTAAAAGTCACCTCAGAATTGGCACCTCACTGCTTTGTTCAGTATGAAAAAATGCAGAGAAATGAGCAAGTCGCCAATATGTCAAGTCGCATAATTCAGACGGTCTTTGAAGAGGGGGGCTAGACATGAAGAGTGGGAGCAGTCCATCTCTTCAACGAACGCACAAAATCGCATCATGTCCAGGAGCCCAGGAACTAGATTGATTAGTTACAATATAGCCTCACGAGAGAATCAGCTCCTGAAGTGAATAACCATGGCTGCTTCGGATGAAACAAGCAGTCCATTACACCTGTTACAAATACAGCAGTGAGTCAATAACGTCAGCCCTTTCATCGTAAATCGGTACAATACCCAACCGTAAGAGCACAAGAATTACCACAGGTCAAACCATCTGGATTTCAATAGGCCGTAAATAATTAAAAGACCGTGTGAAGGACCCTCAAGTAAAATTTGATTCACATACCTGAACGGTTTAAACAAAAAAACTAATCCAAACACGTGAAATCTCGCTGGAAATACAAGAGTTTCAGGTTTCTGAAATTGTTCTCGTGTTTAAGACGTACCTTTGTGGTTGACTGTTTCGTGGCCAGTTAATATTTTAAGCGGGACAAGTAGTGGATTTTGAAGAAGATCAGAATAAACCATGCCGTGAAATACACTAGTTGTGCCATCATCAGAGCAGGAGGCAAAGAGAGGGTATGTTTTGTGAAATGCTACAGCCCTAATATCCTTCGTATGATTCCTGCGTTCCAAGAAAAGGTGAACAGATCGACTTAGCATTAGACTACTGAAAAGATTAAGTGGGGAGAAAATACCTAGTCGTGAACATGTGATGAACCTGTATCAGGTGAGAGATTGAGGTCTAGGAAATCTAAAGGTACTAAAAGGGCCTGACATAGGAAAATTTCTTACTTAAACGCCTTGTAGGGCTTTGTTGAAAGATCCATGTCAAACCACACCATCTTTGATTCTTGACTTCCCAAAATCAAATTATCACCTGTAAATATGATGAATAAATACCCCAATTAATTTTCAATCACGTGCAGAAGTTTTGTGATCACTTTAACAGCTTTCACAACCAATACATAGAAAAGTTGCAGGCTACAGCTCACTACAGCTTTTGAGGGACAACAACCGATATCAAAACAACATAATCATGAAAACATTAGATTGAGGTGAAGTTCCAAAACTAACCTCCAGAATGAATAGCCATTGATGATATTTCATTTAGCCCAGTCATTAGCTTCTTAGAAAGTTGCTGCTTGGCCAAATTATAGACCCGCACGTGCATTTTTGTTGCGACAAACAGAAAAGGGCGTTGAGGATGGAATAACACTTGCACTACGCGTCCATGGTGTTTTCGGAATGGATTTTGAGACATTTGTTTCGTAAGTTGATGCACTAATACCGATTTTGTATTACGTGCTGAAATTGGTCAAGGGCGATTCTACACAATTCCGGATAAAAATTACATTTTACATCCTATTAATTCACAGACTCAAAGTAATAATTGAAACAACTAGATAAAAGCCACAATGGGAAAGGATATCATCAGGGGCAACAGTGGCAAAATAGTCCCCCTTGTGATGCCAGGCTAGGGATTGAACTACCTGCAAAATCTCACAAAGAAGGTCAGGCAAGTGAATTAGTAACAAATCCAGACGCCAAAAGCTCTGAAATTATACATTCTTTGCATTAAGTCATGTTATGTAATTGAAATAGTCAGACTCTTCAAACAAGAATTAACACTAGTACGAAAAAATGAAAAGACGCTTATGTCAACGACAGATCGTACAAATGGCTGTCGAAGTTTTAAACTTTTAAATTTCGAATCCATACTCCAGGTTGCTAGTGGTGACGATTCTGCAATAGATAAACTCACACGTCAAAATAAAATACGCATCATACCACACAAGTATGAGAAAGATTGCATTCTTCTTAGCATAATTGAGTCAGTGACACTGCACCTCGTAGAGGCCCACAAATATTTACAACTAGTGCTTCGTATGCTAAAAACTAAAAACGTAATACAGCATGGGATGAGATAGAAACCAACCTGGATCTTTTTCAGAGACATCCTGATTTTTGAGTGCCAACAAGGCAGCCACATTACCAGTAACTTCTTCTCCACCCAACTCTGTTGGTAACAGCACTACATCTTTGTCCCTGAAATACACAGAAACAGTTCAAGCTCACCTAGTTTAGAATACAGCATCAGAACAGACACTAAAATGAATTCGATTAAATGAAGCGTAGACTTCAAGTTTGACAGGACCACAACTTGAGCGATGAGTTCGGGACATACACTGCGACACCCAAGATGTTGATCTGCGGATTAGGATTCCATTGCACATGGTTGACCTTGACACCGAAGTCCCATGCTTTCCGACACCGACCTGATTGTACGTCCCAGAGCCGCACGGTTCCATCCAAAGAACCTTCACAATTGTAACCATTCTAACAGTGTTAGAGGATGCACGTCTGGAAACTATCACAAAAAGAGGCATTCGGGTTACGAGGTTAACCACACAAAAGCAGTCACAAGCTCAAAAGATAGAACTGCTCCACATTGTAGGGTAACAAAGAGAATAAAATTGAAGGCCCAAATGGCTACAAAAGAAACATCACAATTGGTAAAACCAGTAGGTTCTCAGTGTATCACAGCGAAATTGACAGCAATCCGCTATACTCAACCTCAATTGATCTAACCACGAACCGATTGTAATCTGAGAATTCTGAACAAAACTAGGATACGACACAAGGCTAGTTTTAATTTAGTGCTAAAATGCCTACGTCAGGCATCAAGTAAAGCTTATCACCTGTTGCTTTAAAAACAAACTATTCCCAGCAATCAGAAAAAGAGTCTGACTAATAGAATAAAATACGGCCCATATCAGACTCCGCATCACACCAATCACAATGTAAAGCATCAAGTTACGCTCAACTTGATATCGAATGGTACAAATATATGACAGCTTGAAAAGTTTGTCAATTTTTGAGGTGGAACTCAAAAAAGAACATACAACCCATTTGTTGACAACAGAGCAAGAGGCAAATGTACACAACCGTTAAAATCGAAAAGCAGCATGCGCACCTGTTGCAAGCCACTCCCCGGAACTGTCAACGGACATCGAAGTAACAGCAGCACCATGGCCTCGGTACTCCATATAGCACATCGATGGATAAGGTTGCAAATCTTTCGGTTTGGGAAGCTTTGGTATGAGCATCTCTGGATCGAAGACTTTCTGAGGAATGCAACAACACAGTTCAGTGCGAAACTGATGATCCTAGAACCCTTTGCTTCATACTCAAATAAAATTAACTTTTGAACAATTACAGAGGATGTCTAGGAATACTGCGAAAAAAATTAAAATTCTAAATAAACATCCAATCTCACACGTGTCTAAAAAGCAGAAACGGACTGAATTTCATAGCGGACGGGAGAAACATACCCTATCTTTCTTCTGACGCGGACACAAATAGAGGTCCAAACACCTCTCGAAAATCTCCTTAATGTAGTTTGGATAAGCTGGGACCTGACGAAGCGATGGAAAGCTGCAAAACGAGGAAATATATGAGGCCATAATATCATCTGACGTAAAATTCGAAGTCCGAGTTATTCTGAAGATCAAGCGTCATAAATCACAAACAAAAAAATTACTACATAAATGTAATGGGCAACAACACATAACAATTATACGAGGGCAACAAGATAAACATCCAGACAAATGGATCACGGGTATAAACCTACCTTTTGGGAATAAATTTAGGTCGATCTTCTTCATACATGGCATCATAAGACTTAATTTCTTCAGCTGTAGGGATGTACTCGATCGGTGGATTGTATGATTCTTCATGTCCTGTATCACAATACAAGCCAGTAAATAGTGCGAAAAATAAGATGATAAGATAAACTAACAACGAACCTTCGGCGACTCGCATTGTTTCCAGCCAAATATTGTGCTTACAATAGAGTCACAGAAGTGGGCAGTACCATACCGGGTAGTTTAGGTTTTGGAGCGGGAATGTACGCGAGTCCATTAGCACCCTTATCAGACGTCTTCAAGTCATCACCCCACATGAGGTAAAACTCTGATTTTTCTTTAGGCTTATCCAGTTTAATCCATCCTTTCCTAATAGCACGAACCAGTTTCACGACCTGCAGTACATTCCAAAGATTTACTGTGATGAATTGGCCACAAAGGGCAATTTAGCATTCACTATACCACAATAACGAACCTATTATGCATACGGAACTTCAATGATCTCATGACAACAAGAACCGAGGACAGTGATAATAATACCTTCTTAGCCTCCCACTTTGATGGAATGAATCTTCGCTTGGGCTCCGGAGCACTAGATAGAGGATGTCCTTTGTCCTCGTACTCAAACCAATCAACGTATGGCTACAGCACAATGACGAGCTGAGTCAGTAACAAGCTCATATACTGAACTCACTATATATAATTATCTAAAAAACATGTTAAAATAAATCTCTTGGTAATCAGGAGTTTGTTGGCTCAACATGAGGCATAAATGTCAAGCACAGATAATATAGGTCAACGGTTCTAACCTCGTATGGATTGACATCTGCATGAGGAATCTTGCCCTGTCGCAGCCGCCTAATCATGTTTATTTCATCTTTAGTTAACTCCACTTCCTCGTCATTGTACTCATCATAAACCTTCATCCTGGCAGCCAACGTTTTTGAAGATTGTAAAAATCTTGAAATTTAACTAATTACCATGTTTGAAAGTAAACCAGACACGGAACCTCATATCCAAGGCAACATGAGAGATATCTGAAACTATAGTACTTCACAATCAGCACAAAAGGCCAGTCAGATCATCCTTTCACACGTCCTTCATTGGCATGAAGTCTAGGCTTTAGAATATTCCCCTCGGAAAACCCTTTTAACTTCCTCGCTCACTACCGGGGCAATGTAATGAATTTCTATTTTCGTTAACACGCAAGGACTCTAGAAACAATGAGGAATATAATGAGATCTTTGATACTCTTCGTCGAGAATTCATACCAACAAAATTACTAAGTTTGTCTGGAAGGGTGCACGACACAGCAACTTGGACCCACACAAGTTCCTATATCCCTTCAACTTGTCACCGATATGTATTTACACATCGTCTAAATCAAACAAGGAAGTAATATCTTACCATTCATTAGGATCGTCTGTGCGCGATAGAAAAGTGTCAAGCTGGTCACGCTTCGCTTGCTTATTGATTTTAAGACCATCTTTTGTGTAACCAATATGGTCTTCGTTTTTGTACCACTCCAAAGGTACATCTCCAATTGTGTTTCTGTCTGGTACCTGCAAGAGGTTGAGTGAAAAATACAAAAAAAGAAAATCTGTAAGAAAAAAATATGAGAAGCTAATGCGAAGGCTACATGACGTTTTTTCGTGACGCAGATACAATTATCAGTATGAATACAAATGAGAATAGTTTATGTGCCATAAAATATGCACTATTCAAAATGGCGCAAGGATTAATTCGCCAAAATTATTGCGCACAGGTGTGCCCAGAACTAAAATGTGTGATGAACTGCTAAAGCCTCCAGTTCAGGCTCAGAGCAATGTAAGGTAAATACTCGCTTCATGAAACACGAGCTTCGCAGAGAACAATTCAATATTCGTACCTCGTCTTCCGAGGAATCGCTTTCCTCGGCTGTGGTCGGATTTCCAGACTGACCATTAGCTTCACCGGCTCCATTTCCTTGGTCTTCATGCTCGACGGCTTCCTCAACATCCCGTGGTCCAGCACTTCCTAAGTAATCTTTCATGACATCAAGGACGTAGTTGCGTGCTTCCTCGTCTATCGCTTCGTCATCGCCGCTAGATTCATCTCCTTCGTCACCACTAGAATACTCACTCCTGTTGCAGCTAAAACCGTCCCAATTAATATGCAATTCAGTGTGTGGCCAAGTAACATATCAACCCACTGAACCGTTTCCACAAAACCAAAGCAGTCATATAAAGCAAAAAATATATATGCTAACTAACCCCTGCGAATCACCATCCTCTTCGTCATCGCTCCCCAACTCTTCTCCGTCCTCCTCCTTGTCATCCATGCTCTCACCATCGTCATCTTCACCACTTTCTTCTCCATCTGTAGAAATCTCTGGGTCAGAATCACTCTCGTCAGCGGCCAATATCACTTCGGGAATAGAGCCCTCGTCTTCCGGCACCGCATTCTCCTTCACAATCGGTGACGGAGGACCCTGAGACCTCAGCTTGCGCTTGGGCACAAGCTTAGCCATTATACCTATGCGAAAAACCCAAACAGAGGACAACCAAGACTTGAATTCTAACAATTCTAACACCCTGGAGGTGCCGAGAGAAGCAAAATCCGGAAACACAACTCGAGGAGTCTATCTGCAGGTATTCAAACCTCCATGCATCTGTGCCCTAAACCCTAAACCCTGATGGATGGATGAAGAAACGGATAGTCAAATAACCTTTCGAATGTAAACTATGTTATCATCTATTCTATCATTCGACCGTTCTGAGTCAGAACCTGCTCCCTTTCAGTCCTGGATTCCGGACGGAATCGTCCTGCCCATGCTATCGTTCTTCTCTTCGTCTCGCTCTCCACTGTTTGCAAAGCAGCTTTCAGTCTGCGCGATTCGTATTGTTACTAGGGTTTTTGGTTGATTGCAGCGGAAGAACTCCAAATTTGTTGTCATGAAAATAATGGTAGAGTGAAGTCCACGTACAGTAGATGCTCGAAGGAACCAACGGTCGCTACTAGAGTTCAGCAGATTCAGGTGGTTTTAAAATGGCAGTTAAGTTAAATCGATTAACTTCCTTTAGTGCCGGCATTTTAGAGCATCAATGTTTTCCCCACCTTCTGGATCTGGAAGCCTGGTCGATCGATTCAGGTGGTGACATCGACCTTCGATACCTACCCGTCACCGATTTGACCATCCCGCTTCTCCAGTGTGGTTTCCGCAGGTTTCAGGATGTGTTCGCGGAAGTTTTTCGTTGGTGGCAACTGGAAATGCGTCAGTCTTCATGTCCCCTTCCTTATTGATGATAGACTTCATTTTTTCCATTGTGAGCAGAGTATTCATGAATTTTTGTATCTTCGGTTGTGAGAATTTTCAAGATTAATCAGGAATGAATATTTGCTGTGAAGGTGATCGATGTGTGTATGCGTTTTGTTATGGTACGTACACCGTTGTGATGATTGATATGCCCAATTGTTACAGAATGGAACCGTTGATGAGGTGAAGAAAATATGCTGTATGCTAAACAATGGAGAAGTTCCTTGTCCAAATCATATCGGTAATTAATTTCTTCTCATGCAACACCAAATTTAGGAACCAAGTTTAATTCAACCTGGCTTACCAGGTTTTCTGATTTCGTCCAACGGGTATTTAATTGAAGTTCTCAATATATTGTGATCTTGTAATGACAAAGATTGACAGTTACGTAGGCTAATGCAGAGACGATCATTTCGCCTCCGTTCGTATTCATTCCCTTAGTGAAGAGTATGCTCCGGACGGATTTTCAGGTAGCTGCCCAAAACTGTTGGAAAGGCAAGGGAGGAGCTTTCACTGGCGAAATCAGGTACCGCTCATAGCTTCTATGTGTTCAATGCATAACTTGATCGAGTGTGTGGGAGGTGAGTATCAGAGCCATTTGCTAACAGGATAGCAGGGATGATTTTGTTGATATTCTCTATTAAAACTTATCTGCAATGAATAATCTTCAAGAATGCGCAATAATTTGAAGTTGTGTTTTTTGGTTTAGTGCGGAGATGCTGGCAAACTTGCACGTGCCATGGGTCATCCTGGGTCACTCTGAAAGAAGACAATTGTGTGGAGAAACTGATGCGGTAAGTGTGGTTGAATTTCTAGTAGACATTAGCACCCCAACAAAGATGTACATAGACACCCATTTAAGTATAATGATTTATTTCACGAGAATAGAACAATGTTTGGTAACGTTATAAAGGCGAAGTTGTGCATCATCCCACAACGTAACTACCTTATTGAATGGTTTGTAATTAAGCTGGAGATGATGGCAGATAGTGGCAGAAAAAACAGCATATGCATTGGATAATGGATTGAAGGTTTGCCTTTGCGTTGGTGAAACTCTAGAAGAACGAGAGAGGAATGAGACGGGTGCTGTTGTTGCCAGGCAAACAGCAGCAGTTGCATGTTGGCAGATGTCCTTCACATTGTCAATACTTCAATCTTCTTTCTGATGGTTTATGATAATTAGTATCTTTTAATGAATCAAGTGTGTAGATCTGATTGGGATGCTTGTTTGGTTTTAATAATGGTACAGCAAAGATTTGTTGCTGGGCAAACGTGGTAATAGCATATGAACCTATTTGGGCTATCGGAACTGGCAAAGTGGCTACTCCTCAGCAAGCACAAGAGGTAAGCCTATTTAGTCTTTTCACTTGATTTATGTAGTATAGGATCATTGCATTAAATGGCAATCAATTGTTGTACTTTATGTACTGTAGGATCATTGTTGAACACACTACCGTGCAATTCAATTGAATCTTTGCAGGTTCACTACAACCTTCGAAAGTGGCTAGACTGCTATGTAAGCCCTCATGTAGCTATGAACATGCGAATAATTTACGGAGGTACTTTATATCTTAAAGCTTTCTTCATAGAAGTAATGTTGCTTTCCATCAGTTGCTGCAATTAATTGTATGTGGAACATATAGAATGTAATTCATTTCTTCATTCCACAGGCTCAGTAACAGCTGCAAACTGTAAGGAGATCGGGGCCAATCCGGATGTGGATGGTTTTCTTGTGGGAGGCGCATCTTTAAAGGTTAGACGAAATGCACGTCTTGGAACTAAGATACATGATTTGACGTGATTGTCGTACTGAATTTGTTCAAGTAGGTTATCTTGTTTGTATAGTGACCTCTGCTGTAATGGTTTTGAAATGCAAAACAGTGAAATCAAGGGATAGCACAAATGCATGGTTGAGGTTTTAGTTAACAGATTTATTAGTCTGACATCATACATGCACAACCCCAAATTATTATTTCTATATTCTCTGAAGTTTCAAGTTAATGCAGGAGGATTTCATAGCTATATTAAATGCAAGAAACTACCAGCATTGAAGAAAAGGCGACTGTTTTCGTGCAGTGATCCGAAGCAATGGTTAGAGAACATGTGTCCTGAGTTAACATGCGACTCATCCACATCTTACTTTTAAGATTGTGCTCGATTAGGTTCACAATGTCATTTTTATTTTTTTGTGATAATGCAACTACTGTGAAATATAAAATTGGTTTGCATGTTCATCGAAATCAGGTCCAACGCTAATCTATATTCTCAGCACATTTGAAGTGGGCATGGATGCTGATTACATGATAATAACACGTGCTTTGTCCACATCGGATAATTATTCAACACTAGTTTAGTTAATATATCATATGATTATTTCAGTGCTTATACCAATTGTACGCGAATTATAGGGGAAAACTATTAGCATAATTCTTCATTGAGAGTTCCATTTGTACGTATTCAAGAGACAATTTAGAATACACAAGTCGTATGAAAGTCGTGATGTGGAAGTTAGTCAAATTAAATTACTAGGAAACAGTCATTAAGAGCAGAATATTGCCAATCGATATATTCTCCACGCGATACGAGTCTGGTTATGTGCGTTTGATCATCACGGTAGACTCAAATAGGAAGCCCCCAGTTCGAACTGACGTTATCGACGACATGGGTGTTTGTGTAGTACCCGCGACATCTCACTCCACAAAAATTAATTTTCAAAATAGCATGTTCACCACACTATACACATCTGCTTATCTTTGCATCACTGTTTGCATTGAAATTCATTCCCACTGGATTGATTTTTTAATCGGTTGTAACAAACTGATGACAAAGACCCAAGGCAGGATATTACTGTAAGAAGCAACAAAACAAGAAAGAATAACATTACTGAAACACCAATTCTTAGCTTTTTAAAGAACGATCTAACAGTACAGCCCAGTTTACCAAACAAGGCCCTCCAGTATAATGTTTGAAATTCAAATACTCAAGGTTGAATTGAGTTCACCACTTTTACGATAAATAGGTTTCTAGTCACACGACTCTTCAACAACTATGTCAAAAACTGCAATAACGGATACTCATGCTACTCTAGTCCCATGGCATGCTCCATCAAGGACACAATAATGGAGGGCTGAAAAAATTTCACGAAAGATGTATTATGAGGAGCAAGAAATGGTCGGAATGATCTCTGAAAATGAAATTGTAAGACCAATGAAGGATATCTGAAAGTAAGCAGAGCATTTTGATAATTGTGCTATCTAAGAAAGCTAAGAACAGCGACATATATTTCAAAAGGCAGGCACAAATCCAGCATCAGCAGGAAGGCCTTAAGTGAGATCGTCCTCTACATCTTCTTTAGTCTTCAAAGCATTCTTTGCTCGCAACAGCAATGTGGTTTTCCATTGGTCCTGTATCCATCGCGTCAAACATCAGAATTGGTGAACAAACTCGTCAAACATTGCATCTAAATGTTTCTCAATAAAAACCCCCCATGTCCTTACGTCAAACCAAGATAAGGCTGCAACAAGAAGAGTGGTCACCATGATTACTATATTTAATTAACCAAGTACCAAGCAGGTGAACACATAAGATAAATAATCCACACCATCGTTCAGAAATATAAGGATGCTCAAGCAATTCATGAGTGTTGTAAACTCCTCATCAACAAGCGTGGACGATGTCAATCATGTACTTAACTCTACGTGAGACCTTCAGTGAGATGTTGAGATGAGTTATTCAGTTCCTTAAATGACACTCACAGATCCCTTGGACTTTCTTGATGATTAGTATCATATTTCCAAAACCTAAATATATCATGAGGCTCACCAGACGACTCATGCTATCGAACTCCTTCACAACGTCGGTGAATGCCACAACATCCATCTCATCAATAGCAGCGGCTAAATCCTGTGAGAAGACAATACAAAGTTTTTACTTCAGAATAGAGAACACATCAAACCCAGGTTAAAACAATACAATCCTTCAACAGTAAGATTATCCAAATTGGAATTCAATCATTAGTGACAGACAATGGTAAAAAGGTAATAGAAATTTCAAGGTTAATAAGTTACCTGCAAAAACTTGCATTCTCTAGTACCAGAGAACGTAGGGTCCAGCTCCTGCAGTGGTAATCAACAGTTTAATAATCTCATGTTTGATGCTCAAAGGAACCTCATCTGGTTACACTGAAGACCCTACTATGAATGCAGACTTAAAACTTCAGTTGTAGAGAACCGACCTGATAACTTTCTAAGGCATTCTGGACCGCGACAATGTCCTTCCCACAGATCTGGCACAAACCAGCATTCAAAAGATATCCTTTTACACTGTATTTCAACAAGTTGTTATTCATTGAGTTCTTGGCCACCTCTTCGTAAATTTGAATAGCCCTGTCATAGCTGTCAAAATAATAAATAACATCTCCATTAGGAAACACTCTTCGATTTAACAAGCTGAAGTTGAAAATGGTTTAAGAATATGAACTAGAAAATAAGATAGTGTATACTGGATTCGTAACACGGTATCTGTGGCCTGAATTGAACAAGCGCTCTAACCTATCATTTGATGGGCACACATCAAAATCATAAATACAATAATGAACCTCACACATGACCCTCAATTACTCTTTAGAAGAAAGAAGTGATGGAACAGAACACATGCTAATTTCCTATTTGGCTGAACTCTAACACTCATACTTTAATTAACCCAAGAGAAGCAACACGTGACATCTGTTGCTCGGTGTTATGAGTGCATCTCTATGGAATCTCTGGGGACCTGTACAGCTCATTAAAGTTTACATTGTAATAGCTTTTCTAATACCAATGAGGCAGAAAAACACGTACCGTTCCGTTTGCGCCGCATACTGTGCAACCTTGAGCTTGCACTGATTGCTAGTACTTTCCACGTTCTCCCCTGAGTAAAGATCAGCAGCCTTCTCGTAGTACTCCATAGCTTTTCCAAAATCTTCCTCCGTCTCGTAAATATCAGCTATGTCCTATGCACGTATTCGTAAATTAATAATATATATATATATATATATATATATATATATATATATATACATATCCTCACTAATTGAATCCTCTAACAAGTGGCTGAACTCCTACAAAAACTGTCTAGGTTCAATTGATTTAAAGATATACGTCCACCTGATTAGTGACAAGAAGCTAGGTTTAGCACAAAATCTTTTCCAATCCTAACAAAATTATTTGATATAGGCAACTGCTGCAAATCCAAATGCACTTGGACTCTGACATGCTTCATTACAAGCAAATTCGCAACACTTCAACCATATTATAATAACAACGCAAAAAAGTAATCATCGGCGCACCACCCACGAGTTCCGATTTTCTACCATCAGAAAAGGCCAATGAAAAACATTAATGAAAAATCACCTTGTAATGCTTTGCCGCCATAGAGAGTCGCCCAATGTCTTCAAACATCTGAATTGCCATGTTCAGCATCTTCACAGCTTCTGCGTTACGAAAAAAAAGCTTCGGTGGGTAACAGGTGCAAGCCTACACAAAAATTCAAAACTCAACAGTTCCACACTAAAATAACGAAGAAAAAAGAAAAAAGAAAGAAAGAAGTCACTTGAGCCTCAATTCCACCTCCAAGAGCATTACCGAGAGAGTTCGGCTTCTTCTTGTATGCATTCGCGGCGTCAACATAAGCTGCAGCTGCTTCATGCTTACTGTCCAACTGCAGCCCAAAACGACTGATATAAGAACATTTAAGGAGAAATGATACTAGGGTTTACCCTCAAACATAGTAAAGAGAAAAAACCAAATACCAAGCAAAGAGATCTATATTCCAATCCCCCTACAACCCTCACAAACCACATCATCAAGTATTGAGATACCCATACCTTCAAGTGGCACTCCGCCAACTTAATGTAAACATTAGCTGCTTCGTCCCCTGCAAACCAAGAATTCGACTCCTCAAAAAACCCATCACAAAACAAAACAAAAAAAAAAAAAAAAAAAAAACGACTGCAAACCCAATAATCCACATGGAAATTCACACTCACAGGCTTTGGCAAGTTTGTAGGCGTTGCCGGCCTTCTCCAGCAAATCGGCCGCATCCTCGTATTTGTTACCGAACAAGGCCCAGCCGGTGAGCTTCTTCTCCGCCTTCTTCTCAAAATCAGCCCCCTTCGCCCGATTGTCCCCCATTTCAATCAACCCCTCGGTGCTCGTTTCTTCAATCTTGTGCAATCTCGCATACGCAGATTGTAGGTTGCCAACAATTCATCAGATCGTTCTTCCGCACAAGGCCGCCGTGAATCCCCGTTCCTGCACAGACAGGGCCTGGGTCTGGCATTTTCAGGGGAAATATTTCTTTTCCGATCCGAAAGATTTCTTTCTCCTTTGTGTTCGACATGCTGGCTTGATGTCCAAAATCAGCGTTTTCTTTTTAACACACACCCAATTCTGTTTGTGTTTGTGTTTTTTTCTTTTTTAAAAATAATGGGATGTATACTATTTTTTCATTATCCCAAGCTCGATTTGATTTATTGATGCATAAGTTGGAGTGATATGATGGTAATATCATATATTTAGGGGAATGTTAAATAGATCCAAGTTTTTATTAAATCGACTCACTCATCCTAACCTTCATGAAAAGAAATAATGATTTCTGGATTCATTTCTCCATCATTAGATCTGCAACTAATATAAACCAACTGCAGTCATTGTGGTTACCATATTCTTCATGGATATATTTAGTAAAATCATGAGTCTATTTAACATTCTCCTATATTTAAGTATAAATTTTGTTATTTATGGTTCCAAAGGAACTCACTTATTAGTTATATTATTTGAATAATGTTCAATATACTGCTTTAAATTACAAAGGCATTTGAGAACATAAAATCAGCACATTTATGTCATGTTACTAGGAGTTTTTTTTTTTTTTTTCAATTATATTCAATTTTTTAAAAATGTACGCATCTTTTATTTTTATCAAGCTTTAGTTAGTATTATTATTATTTATTTAACTTTTTTTCAATTCAGCAATATTTTTTTGCGCAACATAACCTTTACCTTATAAATTCAGTGTTGTTATTTTCAACATGTTTTTTGATATTAAACAAGTAAATTTTCATACTTCATATAATCTTTCAAATGCAATTCTTATAATTTTTTATACACTACAATTTTTTATTTTTTATTTTTGTATATTACAACTTTTGTCAATTTTGTCACCAAATGTTAGGACCTATCACATAATAATAGATCTACAAATGTGGTACACATGTCATATATATATATATATATATATATGTATGTATGTATGTGTGTGTATACATAGTGTAATATAGTGTATATGGTACAGATTGAGATTGGTAAAATGAATTGATTAAAACTTGAATTTGACTTTCATATAGTTGTTTAAAATAAGCACTAATTGTATTTTATTTATTAGTCTAATAGGACTTAGTAATGTGACTATGCAATTGTTTCAAGATTGCACATAATTTAGTGACAGCAAAAGAAAAACTCATTCTTACTCACATCAACAATTTTTAATCCATATTTACAATAATATTATATTAACACATCTACTTGATTTATTTGTAAGAATACTACAATTATTGGTGAAAAGACTCTAAAAGTATTCACAAAATTTAAAGACTTCACAATTGTAATTGTTTTAAAGAAAATGATCTTTCTATTTACATACACTATTTAATATGAATAAAAAAAATGCAAGAGACCACTCCATTATAATATTGATCCTCTTTAAATGATTAATAAATAATTTATAATTATATTCATATGAGTAATAATTATCTTGTAAGTATTTGATATTTGTTTTAAAGAAAGTGACAAAATCAAAATAATTTATTATGATTTAACCTAAATTCAACCTACTACAAGAGATGGTGATTTATAATTTCTTATTATCATTTCATAAATATGTGTTCTTTCATGCTTAAGATTCATACAGATTAAATGCACATTTTCTCCATATTTCTTATTTCTTTAAACATAAATCTATAAGTATCAGACATGACTTTGAGACCCTACTTTTTCTCTTAATATTTTAGACACTTGTTGTATGTAAATATATATAAAAAAAAATCATTAAAAATATGAAAAATTGAAATATTTAATTTCTTTGCAAATTTTAAAAAGAAGCCTCATATTACATAGGAGGTGCTCTTAAGATTTTAAAAGATCATATGAATATCAATTTGGTGCATATTATTCTATTTGACAATTAACAATATCAACAAGACTTGAAGACAAGTGTTTATTCACTGTTAGAGGTTGTCACCAGCGCTTATGTATAGACAAATTTGGCTGACTTCCCTTATACATCTACCATCTCAGGTAAAAGCAACCTCTGAAAATTTCAGATCTAGGGAATATGTATGCGTCTGTCAGCTCTTATTCTAAAAATACAGAACAATACTATCTAAAAAACGATTTCTATCGCCGATGATTCGGATGGAATGGGATAACTGTAGATAGCTGGACCAATACGCTTCAGACTCGAACTGTTACCATACTTAAGTAGAAACCTCCGAATTCCACTCACATAGCTGAGAACAGCAAATCATTCAGAATTTTGAGAGTGCGCAAAAGCTTAATTAACCGGCCTCCCCGCTGCTGTCGAAGCAATAATCTTAGTGCGATAGTGGTGGAAGATCGTTGAAATCTATTTCTCCCATATACCAGCGCTCGAAAGCGGCAGTCCAGTCCTCCGTACTTGGCACCAGCTCGCGTGAGCCAACGTGTCCCGCACCAGCACAGGGAGCTCCATCCGATGAAGCAGAGGCGTGAAGGAGATGCGATACACGCGATGTCGGCACAGAACTCATGGGCTCCACCGCTGCTGACGAATGCAGAGACTCAGGGGTGCCACGTAGATGCCACATCATCCCGAGAACGGTGGGGTCATCACATGGCTCTGGTAGCACCTGCAACTCCACCCAACACCAGGAATTCAGCAAAACTAACCCCACGTGTCACCCTCTCTTTCGTCGAAATGTAATCATTACTCATGCCCGACAAGAATCAGTCACTCAGTCAAACGTGCGACACGGATACTACGCTCACCGTTTTGGAAAAAGAAAAAGATCTCGAGCTGGTGGCTGAACATGACATCAGTCACACCTCTCCACGACGGAGGCACTCCTCACGACTCTCCTGCACACACACACACCCATTTCACCATCTTAGTCAACACAATGAGACCCACACAACTGTAGATGCTCTACTACTCCGCAGCAAGACGGACACTTTCCTAAATAATACCTTCATGCCCAGCTGTACCTCGCCGCGTACAACCAAATTCCCGCGCCGCAACTGCTCTGCATATCGCTCCTGATTTTGCTCCCGATTCCGCTTCCGTTTCCACATCATCAATTGAAGAACCCAAAATAAAAGGAGAAACAACCCAGGAGAACACAAAAAGAAGCGAAGCAAAGAGTGGATGGAATGAAGCGACTGAAGGGATGAAATAAAAAGAGCCCACAGAAGTCACTGGGAAAGAAGGCAAAACTGAACAGATAAACAAAAAGAAAAAAAAAGAGGTGTCAAACGACAAAAAAAGAAAAAAAAGAAAAAAGAAAAAAACGATAACCAGACGAAGAAGAAGAAAAAGAAGATTGCAAAATCAACACATAGAAGAAAAAAGAAAAAACAACCTACAATCAAAACAAAAGTCTGAAATCAATCATACACCAGTATCAGGCCATGAAGACTCATCCCCAAATGTCACCAACCAGAATAAGGTGAATGGTAAAATGACCAGGACGAACAATCGCGTCCAAAGCAGGACTGAACAATTTTGATATGGTTGTTGCACACAACCCTCCCCCTCAATAAACTCGAACAAACAAATTTACAATCAACACAGTTTCATCCTACACGCTCATTCGTCATCAGCACATCAATTTTGAAGGAAGAATATACTCTTGTTGCTTTATGCCCTGGCATGTAATCATCCACACAAGCATGCACAGCATCATCTTCAATACCATAGCATTGTACAGGAAACGTACCACAACTGCATTTGCCCTCAGTGGTGTCTCACTCTGGCTGGCTTCATCACTTGTTATCACGAAGTCTGTAGACTCTGCATCAGGATTGTGCAACTCGTCACTCAGAGGACCATGCTCACCCAAGCATCCAATCGCCACTGAGGTTGCGACTGGGTTACATAAAAGATTGACGACCTCAAAGTCGGCCACGTGCTCCAGTGTTACAAGACAACAACAGTCTAGAGGGCATCGGTTCACAAATTGAACAAAATGTCACCCATGCATGCCATACAGGAGACAATGACAAGCCAGGGTAGTTGTGTTACCGGACGTTGACGAACCAGACACAAACGTAACCCCGTTCTCTACGGGATTTCCACCTCCTTGGTTCCTCATCCTCTTATTTGATCTGGGTCGGCAATACTCGAGTAAACAATCGTACAGACTTTCTGTAATCTGAGCAGCCAGCTTCCTGTCTCTGAAGTCCTCTGGCGTCAACTGCCTGAACTCCTTGTTCTTGTTCTCACAAACCTGATTTATTGTCTTCAACGATTTCGTAACCGTATCTATCCTCCTTCGACACTCATCCCCTGTCCTTTCGGACACGATTCCCGCCACGTCCCCCCATGACCGTGTCATCAGACGCAATTGTGTGAAGAAGCTGCCACTTCCTTCCAGCTAAAAACAAGAATGAGTTCCAAGTCCACGAGAATTCATCAGGCAGAGAGATGGGATGTGCACCTTAGTGTGTTGACCCCGTTGATGCAACAATCTTGTGACCCCGTCCTCCAACTCTTGCCCACAGCACAAAAGTACGTCAAAGCAAAGTTCTAACCACCGGGTTGTTTACTGGTTCATGCATTCACTTCTTCTCACCATTTCCAAATCAACCTCGACGTCCGTGCTTGGAAGCGTGCCAGACTCACCATATCTGCGAGCAACCCTACAACCCTAATCCTCGGAGTGCCCAGAAGTGAGGCAAGAAGCGCCGGCTCAAACGTAACAAAATTGGAGAAAAAACCGCACATCGAGCTTCCGATTCTCGTCAGGGCTCGGGCTGGTGAATATCGGATTTGCTACAGTTTCGAAACACGGAAGAATAATTGCCGACTCCAAACGAGAGAAGTCGCAAGCATCGATTGGATCCGCGTGTGAGGTGTTATATCGGAATCCGTGAATCCACAGTGAAACCATGCTTACAAGTTTCCTCCGACATTGACAGTCGGGGAGAGTATCGGAACTGCTACAGGATGTCGGAGGCGCAACAGTACTGGGGCGAAGACGTGAAAGTACAGAGAATTATCAGAACAGATCGAAAATCAGTTCCAATATGATGTTCATCCTTCAATGACTATGCAGTGGGCACAAGGGTGCACAATATAATATCAAATAGCATTTTTGGGGGAGAATTGACAACTTGAAAATTAATTATCATTTCTATTATCATTAAAATGACTACTATAATATTTCATAACTAGTTTTTAGTTATCTATTTTTTTTTTTTTTTTATTTGATGGCTTTGTATGTTTAAAATGTAATAATTTTGTTTAAAGAATTAACTTATTAAAAACAAATTCTACATTATCTGATACCTTTTATAACTTTGTAAAGGTTGCAACTTTATTTTCTATCTATAATTGTACATCATTTATAACTAGATTAATATATATTGTTATTCTAAAATATTAAAAATTTAAATATATGTAGTAGTTGACAAGTTGTTAATTTTAGATATTATGTTGACTACAAATATATTTCCTGAATCAAATCATCCAAATTATGATAGTATAAAAATTAGAAAGAAAAAAAATAAAAACTTTTTAGTACTAGCCTTATGTCCAAGCCACTTGTTATTGAACCTTTGCTCTAAACTACAACACTTTAGTCATATATTTGTTTGCAATCTGAAAGTTTAGAGCTTAAGCATACTTTGCTACATGTTTAGTAAAGACTTAGTAATTACTTTCAAAAATCACTACATTGTATTATCTTATATCAAATATTAATCCACAAGACTAAGACAACATTATTGACTTTGCCAAATTAAATGAGTTGAAGACAACACCTCTATCATAAATGAGTACACACCAAATTCAATTGCAAGTAAGACTATATATAACTTAACTTCAATTAAAAATTAAACATGAAAAATAGAATCAAAATAACCTAAAAATTATTGATTACATAAATTATTTAGATAAGACTTTAAATTATGAGAAAAATAATTTAATGACAAAGAAAAAATTATATATATATATATATATATATAGTTAAGTTACTTTTATTTAATTAAGACTATAAGATATCTTTGCTCAAGCAACTACTTATTTTCTTGTTTTCATCTAATTTAATCCAAGTATGTAGTTTTTTAGGTAGATTAGGTATTTCTAACTCAGCTTTGGTTCGTGTATTTTATTGTATGGATTTTAGGTAGATCAAATATTTCTAACTTAATTTGTACTTATTGATCTATATTTCATCTATTTATTGGATTCTATGAGTCTAAAATCTATTACTTTGTTTAGCCAAGGTGATTAACATTCTATCCACAATATTTGAAGTATAGTATATAATAGTCTTAGAAGTTGGTATAAAGAATTAGTAGGAGACTTAAATATCTAGCTTAGATTTTAAGCTCCAAAGTAGCAATGAGAACAAATCACAATATTACTTCAATAGTTGGCAAGAAGATTTAATTTTATAGTTAAAATCTTCATTCTCTTTGAAAATATCAATTAGATTACCATCTTTGGAGTTTCATTTTTTTGTTACTTTTTACAAGTTATGAGTACATAACACAATGGATTTTGCATGAAAAAAACTAATATATCAAATTTAAAGTATTGATGGAATTCTTAACTTAACAAAACTTTGGGCCTCACTTATAGTAGGCAAAGGGATTTATACATTAGAGTTGAATCTACAAAATCAAGTATCTCCTCTACAATCACTCTAATATCTTGATACTAAGTCTTTCTAAAAGCAAGCATATAGACTAGAGTTTTATTCAAAGCTTGTTGTAGAGCATTGGTTTGTATTACTTTTAAGATACAATGTTTGACTATGACTTAAAGTTTGTTTGTTTCTTTGTGTAATTGCTATTAAGCTATTTAAAAAATTAATACTTTGTGTAGGTTGTTGCTAATATGACAATAGAGCCATCACATCCTAGTTTTAATTTAGGCAATCATATTCTTAAGCCATATCATGTAGAATATAACAAACACATTATATTGATGAGTGCATTTAAGTGCATCCTCAAGATGAGTGTAGTCAATATCTATAATCTTCTGCAATTTGGACAATAAAAGCCTCAATTTTTGGCTCAAATATCTATTACACACTAAGCCATGTTATATTTGTTTTTGTAGATAAGCCACAATAATCAATAAAATAAAAACTTCAGTAATCTAATAAACATATTAAAATTGTATAGTTTTCTATTATATATTAAAAAAACATTAAATTATGTATTCTAAACTTAACCACATTTTGAGGCACAACCACTAAATACACCACAAAAAGAATATTGACATCCTATACATGGAAGAGCTATGAAATAATTTTATTTGAGCTGCCATCATATAAAAAATTGAGGATGTATGATTGCATGACTTTATAAAACTTATGGAGATATGCTCATTATTGGCTTACTGAAGAGATTAGTATCATCAAATCTACATGTCGATTCTACTGAACATGTGAAATACCACGTCACACAGTAATGTTGCATTGTAATTGCTATTACAGAGATATTGTATTTTCCAAAACAGTGAGAAGCAATAGTAAGTAAAATTTGACTAGTTTTTCCCACCACCAAAACACATTCTATTTGAATGACACAACCAAAATAACATCAATTGACTGTCAAGTATCACAAAAGCAAAGCCACCAACAATCTCTCCAAAACATGATGATTTTCAACTACAATTAAAAAAAAAAAAAATCATTGAATCGAACAGTACACCAGAAAAAACTACCCTATATATATATATATATATATATATATATTTTCATCACTCTAAATGTTTAAATCCAATATTAGCATATGAGCGTGCAACTGGTTGGTACCTTCAAGAGGAAAACAAAGAAGAAAGAAACATGAATGGGGACGGATGAAGAAATAGACAACAGACGAAGATACAATAAATGGATGAAAAATGAGTGGATGGAAGATGTTTTGAAGGATGTATTTCGTCGGGCAGGCTGAAACCTCTTCGAGGGGTTAACTCGGGCAGGTGCGCTGGAAAATGCACGCTCCTCCTCTACACACACACACACTCGAATCCATCGCAATCGCAATGCCTCAATGCAATCGAAGTCGCTAACCTGAGTCTGGGATGCGTTAGCGAGCTTTTGAGTCCAGGAAAGTATTTGGGTAGTTTGGATCAGGGTAAAAGCGTGCATGCGTTGAAGAGACGAGTGCGAAGGAATTTGAGGTTTAGGTTGGATCAAAGGGTATGGACGGCCGGAGGGGGTGCAAGAGAGCCAGCGTCACAGACGACGAGGAGCAAACTCCAAAGAAGAAGCGAGGTCGCCCACCTGGGAGCCGGAAATCTCTTGCTGCCGAGCAAACACCTGAGAAATCTGTTTCGGCGAATCAAACGCCGTCAAAAACGCCCAAGGTGAGCGGGTGGCTGCCCAGAGCTTTACCTCATGCGCGTGCATTGGCTGCTTTGATGAGTAAGTGCATGCGGTGATGATCGGAAGATTGAGTTTGGAGTGTTGTCACTTCAACCTCGATAGTGGAGTAGGAGCTGGATGTTGTGTTGGAAATGGATGTGAGAGTTTAAATTGGCTCATGGTGCAGGTTGTGAGTTTTTTGGAGACGTTGGATGAAATTGGAGAGGCGGCTCCGCATGCTACTCCGCAGAGTTTCTTTCGGGTGAAAGAAGGGAGTGGGGTTGGGAAACGAGTTGCCAACAAAATTGCGGATATTGGAATTGTAGATGAGCAGGTACGTCTTCTTCTCCTTCTATCTCACAGCATCCGCCTATTGTCCAATTACAACTATCTCTTAAGATAGTTGGGTTGAATTGAGCATTTGAAGAAATGAGGACGTTTTCAGGAGATTGGTTTCCTTGCAACATTGTATTGATTGCATATTTTGTCTTTTTGTCTTTTTTTTTCTTTTTATTAATAATTATCGAGGTTTTCATTCTCAGGGTTGATTCACTTACTCTAGAAATGTTGAGAGCATCTTTACATGGAATCTCAATCTCCAGCACTATGTAAATATAGGGTGTTGATATTGCAGGAGCTTCGAGATGCAATAGTAAAACTACCTCAAAAGCATGAGAAGGAGCAAGCTGCACTTCTGGAGGGCTATCGTGCCTTCTACCACAAGTGGTACTTTCAACTGAGGTCAAACATCGGACTCGTCTTTGGCTCATACCGCCTGACTGTACACGCAAGTCATGATTGGAGTTATTGTTGCATTCCTGTTTGATTAACTAACAAGACGGAGCTTTTGGAGAGGCATTGAAGACTTGTACGTTAATGTAGAGATGCATTCGTAAGTTTTGACAATCGTCTTCCAGAAAACCCCGAGAGTCTTGTTCTTCTTGTGTTTCCAAGATTGGATGCAGGTGATTTGTGCGACGATTAATCTTTAACCCTGTTACAAACTTCCGTGCAGTTGTGGATTTGGGCTTCTGATGTATGGGTTTGGCTCCAAAAAGAAATTGTTGGAAGATTTCGCCAGTACAGAACTGAGGGATGGTGCTGCCGTCGTCGTTAACGGATACCTTTCGAATGTAAATATAAAACATGTAATGACCCGCACCTTCGATCTCTTTGAGTGTTAGTATCACATAAAATTAGCCAAATGTTTGATTTGAATGTCTTGCCTCGGCTTCAGTATCATGCCAAGTGACATGCCAACGCAGCAGCGCAATGTGATTGGAAAGTGCTGAGCATGCTCTCAACTTCTGGTGTCAGTCGCTAAGAAGATTTGACATAGATAATAGTAAGAGATGTACCATTTTTAGGGTGTGACACACGGTGATGTCTTACACAGGTGGTACATACAGTAGTGAATGCTGTATGGGAGGCAAGGAAGAAGGGAAAACCGAGTAACAAGGTGAAACAAGATGCACCGGCCAGTTCGAACAGTTTGGTGGATCTCCTGGAATTTTTGACCGACGACGATGATTCGACTCATATTTATGTCGTTGTCCATAACATTGATGGGCCAGGTTTAAGAGATGATGATGTGCAACAAACTCTTGCAAGTCTCGCAAGTTGTAAGCATGTCCGTTTGGTGGCCTCCATTGATAACATAAATGCCCCAATCCGTGAGTATCCTGTAACACAGCTTGTGACATGGAACATGTAGAAGAAAGCAGTGGTTTTGTCTGTCCGATTCTTCAGAAATGAATGGTACGGATTGCATATTTTGATCATTGATAAGTAGTGAATAGTTTCTAGATTCTGTCATACCTGCAGTGAAGCCTTTAAAATGGTGGTTTGATTTCTTTTGAATATTCTGCTATGTGCCCCTGAAAATGTTTTATGTCGGTTAGTGTTTAGGGAATTGGTTGGGATAGTAGTTTAAAAGCAATGAATTTCAGTAAGGTGAAAAGATAAACTGCTATGTGTTATGTTCGTGTTATGTTTATGGAGGCTACATTTGCAAGTAGTCTTGTAGTAAAATCTGAGAAGCTTAATTTATAATCGTGAAGTTTCTCGTAAATAGAAGTCGGCAAAGAGTAGCGACGTCTTTCTGTGTGTCAAGCCTCTCTTGTCTAAAGCACTCTTTATGGTATGTTTGTGCAGTCTGGGACAAGCACATGGCCCGCAACCAGTTCAAGTGGTTGTGGTTACACACTCCAACTTACGCGACTTACAAAGTAGAGGGAACATGCGTGCCACTTCTGTTGACTGCTGGAGCTGCCACCAAAAGTGCTCGAAGTGCTATACTTGTGCTACGAAGTTTAACTCCCAATGCACAGAGTGTCTTTCGAGTGCTTGGGGAGTTTCAGATTAGTCATCCTGATGATCAAGGTATGAAAGGATTTGGTTGGCTGCATGTTACGTATATCAGACTGTCAGAATATCTGGGATTGGGGCGTTCTAAGCTTGCGCTGAGTTCAAAAAGTTGGATTCGTCTATCACAATTGGAGAACTATTGATAATGTGGCTTGTTGAAATGTATGTTGCAGGACTTCCTTTGAATCGGCTTTACACAGCATGCAGAGAGCAGTTCTTAGTGAGTAGTGAAGTGACTTTGCGTGCCCATCTTACTGAATTTAAGGACCATGAGCTTGTAAAGTTTCGACGAGGCGTAGACGGACAAGACTGCATTTATGTGCCTTTGCCTATTGATGCTCTTACGAAGCTTCTGGAAGATATTACCAGTTAGGGTCATGATCTTGTACACTTCAACTTGACACAATTATTGGTCCAAGTAATTCCAGAGGGGGATGCATCATCTTAGTTTCTAATGACACTCTTCGTTATTTGTACACATTGTTTATTATCGATTTTGATTTTAACGATACTAACAAGTTTAACTTCATTGCACTTGAAAGTTCTAACATCCAACAGCATCGGATCGGTTCATTCTTCAAATTGAAGATTTACATGGGGTCTGGCATCAGCCTTCAGTGATAATTCTCTTGGGACACAGTTCATTACAAGATGCACCTAGCTGTTTATCTTAGAACATTACCCACACTTTCTTGTGTTGATATATACAAAATTCATATTCTACATGAAAAGAATTTACCTTAGTACCTGACCACAACTCTTTGTATATGGCGATGATTCCAAGCTGCTGCACATCCACGTTCTCAAAAATGAAGTGCCAAGAGGAATCTGCTGATGGTTTGTACCAATGCTGAATAAACTGATTAGAGGTACAAATACGTAAAAAATGTTCTCCTTGTGAATTAATATTCTCTGTTGCAGTAAAATAACGTATGCATTTACAATGGTTTTTTTTTTTTTTTTTTTTTTTTTTTTTTGACACACGAAGGGGAAGAGTTTCCATTAGGCATTGAAATGAATTCATGGCCGGGGATCAAAATGCCAACCAAGGCATTTGCTTTGGATACCTCAATGCCATCACCTAGTAGTTTAGGGTCAACTTGGACCATTAAGAAAGGTTTTTATTACTTAAAGGTGTATTGCTAATCACTTCAATTGTGGTGGCCACATGGCCCCATTGGTTATCTAGCTTGACCTTGCCCTATCATATATGTATATAGTTATATCTTCTTGTCTTGTCCAATCATGTATGTATATATCAATTTATATAGAAAAAAATTAAATTAAACTTTAAATTAAAAAAAATAATTAAAAATTTAATAGAGATAAATTGTGGTAATAGTAGCAAAAACTGTTGTAGCATTAGCAATATTATATATAGAAGCTCCAATGATTTTTGTTTAGGAAGATTGTAAAAAAAATTAAAAAAAGAATGTTTTTTCTTATTTAGAGTTTTATCAAATATAATGTAAGATTTCAATATCTAGAGGGCTCTAAGATAATATCACATTTTTCTTCAAATTAAATTCTAAAATACTTATTGTAGAAATTCTTTAAAAATTTAGACATAGATGGTTTTAAAATTTTTTGAAGGTCCAATAGGACTAGGAAAAATCCACCTCTACATTCAAATTTAAAGAAATGAATAATAAGTTTTTATTTGCATTTATTAAAATAATTTTGAGAAAATTTGATTATATTTTTTATAAATTTTTTTGTACAATTTGGAGCATAAAATTGAAAGGGAGTAAATTCACAAGAGAGTTTATAGAAAAATAAGGTAAAGAGGCAAAACAAATAGGGTGAGAAAGAAGAAAGAAGTAGCAAAATTCTTTGCCAAATTAGACATTGAAAAAAATCAAATAGCTTTTACTACCATCTTGATTTAAACCAATTATTTCATAAAATGTATAATTTAACTTCAACTACCTCCTCCAACCTTTATTATTATTGTCAAATCCCTAAAATTTTGTCGTAACTATTATAAAAAGAGTTTTGCCAATCACTTACTTGTTAGTTGCTTTGAAGCAATAAGTTTATAGTGGATAGGGCAAAAACCTCTAAAAATGATTATCTATAGTACAATTTTCACCTACATTATTGATTTGGAGGTCAATATAGTCTAATAAAAGGTTAAGTTTAGTATGAATTAGATACCAACTTTAATAGAAAAAGTATTTTTTTTGATATATTATAATTATTAATGTTTGAAACTATATATATATATATATATATTAATGGATTGTAGATACATTTTATTAATGTTTTTTATTATCAAAATGATTTATCTTATTTTATTTAAATAAATAAATAATCATTTTAATTATTTACATACAAAACTATCAACTTTTAAATGTTTATTTTTAAAAAGATCTTTCATATATATTACATAATATTAATATTATATTTTTTTACAATATAGTTTATGAGATTTTTTTATTTTTATTTTTTATTTTTTATATTTTATTTTAAGTACATGTTTTAAGATAATATATATAATTTTATATATTAAATTATAAATATGTACATTCAATGTTACTAAAATAACACATCATATTGTATTACAAAAAAAATGATTTAAAATACATATAATCAAATAATATGCATGTAAATTTATATATGTGTGTTTGTGTATATTTTTACAAATATTACAAGTAAAACTTGAATAATAATTTACTTTTTTATAATATTATATAATATTTATAATTTTAATATGGAGGTAAAAAATTATATGATTGTTTTCAAAATATTTTGGATGAATTTTATATATATATATATAATTCATCCATACTTGTATATATATATATATATATATATATATATATATATATATAGATATAATATTCATTCATTATATTTCGTGTGAATTAAAAGTTTTTTTTTTTTTTTTTTTTTTTTTTTTTTGTAAGTATCCAAAGATGTATTGCACATAGGAACATCCATACTTGGAAGAGGGGTTGTCCACAAAATAGTTCCTTTTATTTTTTTATTTTTTTGGTCTTTGTTTATATATATTATTATAATAATAATTAATATTTTAAATATTTTTTTGAATAATTAATTAAATATATTAACCAATTAATTTATTATATTATTTATAATATGATTTATAATTCTATTATATATTATTATGCATAAGTCACTTTCTTTTATATTTTGTCATTTGAAATAAACAAAAGGTTTTTAAATATTATCATTATTGTATAAACACACATACACACACACACACACACACACACACACATATATATATATATATATATATATATATATATATATATACGGATGTAAATTTGGTACTAAAAAATGGAATGATTTTTAACAAAATTTAGAAACTAAGTCTCTTTAGATGGATATTTTGTGGCTCTAGAGTGCATCTCCATGTTTTTGTGTAGGTAATTTGTGAGCTTTGTGTCATCACACATGATATTTGTAGGTTTTCTTACAAGTTCAATTCCTATAGAGACAACACTTTATTACTTTTACATTTTTGATTATAACTTCACAACTTAATTGTAAATTTTAAGGAATAGAACTATTCACTAATAGGATTTTAGTAATTAGGATTAGCGAAGGCACAACATGTCAATCAAAATCCATGCAATTTGTGGAATAAGAAGGTGAGTGAAGCAATTGTAGTAGTCGCATTGAAGATAATTATGTAAGTAGTAGAATGAGAAGGTAGTGGAAGTTATCAAAGTAGCCACACAATTTATGGAAGATAGAATCATATGCCAACATATTCAAGTCCAGGGTAGCTCATGCGCTTATTGCCTCAATGGTTTTACTGGAATGATGTCAAGGAGAACGAACATGTTGTAACGACCAATTTAAGCATAAGTTAGTTGCCGTTGCGACCAATTTAGGCATGTATATTAAATTTCACCCTACTAAACTATTGTTAAGAGAAAAGCTTCTAGATAATACACACACACATATATATATATATATATATATATATATATATAATTTAGCCTAATTTCTTTCTAAATAAGAAGGTAATGGAAGCTCAAATAGATGGTAATAAAGTGAGGAAGAAAATTGAGCATCTTACAAAATATGCAACAACTGTTTATTTTGTAGAAAGCAAATAGTGAAAAAAAACCTTCTAAAGTGATTGGAATGCATCAAAACAAAAAACATAGAAGAACTATGATTTGGAAGAATATTTAAACATAGTTTTTTTCAAGTTATAAGCAAAAAAGAGGTGACCATACAAAAATTCTTAATAGAGAATCTTCATTTATCTATATAGGATACGTGCATATTACAACCATGGATTCCAAGGTTTAATCCTAGTAGACTGATTAGCATAAAAATGCCAACTTGGATTGTACTTAAAACTATTCTTGGTGAATTTTTAAGTAGTGTGTATGACATTGCAAAGTGCCTTGATCTAATTCTAAGGCAGGATTGTTAAAAAAACTACAATACATATCAAATTTTTTGTGTGGCTATAACTTGTGGTACAACATATTATTTCATTATTAGAATTAAGAACTCTATTATTGAAAATATGACATACATTCATGTTGATTATAATAACCTAAGTGTTTGATGTAGGTACTATCTTGCTATAGCATACCTTGTTTATGAGTGCTCCTTATTATGTGATAAACAACAAACAAATTCAAAAGTACAAATACATATTTAGTTGTTGTTGAATGCTCAAACTTCTCTAAAAAATATCATGACAACTAATTCCTATGGTTTGAATTGGATAGAAGTGGTGAATATATCTCTTATTATACCAATTGACGACAGGAAAATATCACCATCTACAAATAACGAATGGACTCTTTAGTAGGTTTTGGATGGTAAACAAGAATTAGTAGAAGGAAGAATGATGTAAGACCATGATTCCACCTAAATAGAATAGATACAAACACTCCATAGTAATAATGCTTGAACTTAGCAAAGTAGGTCATGTGAATTAAAATAAACCTTTATTAATTGGAAGCTTATTCTAATTCATAATAATTTTAATTATTTAAATATTTTAATAATTTTTTTAAGCTTTTGATTTATATCCACTAGATTTAATAATTTCTTACTTGTGAGTAAAATAATTTTTTATTTTAGGTGATTTATTCTAATTCATAATTATTAATTAATATGTGAATTGATTATATAAAATTTTCTTCTTACTTCTTTATAAAAGAACTTAAACTAGTTAGCTAATTAAACTTACATTCAAACAATTATAAAACAACAATTCCAATACTTAAACAATTCAACCATACTACAATTGAAAGAAGAAATTTTTATATGATTTTAATTTAATTTACTTTATTACTATTAATTATCATCCAAAATTAAAATTTTATCCAAATTTAATTCATGAAATTTGTTCACCCAATCAACATATATAAATTTTTTTCATCCAATTGTATTAGTTCATCTAAGATACATCCTAAAAAATTGGAAAATACTAAGAGCCATCACCTCCAACATCTTGGCAACAACCCTCCCACACAAAAATGATAAACACTTCTTTATTAAAGATTTTTTAGAGAAAGCCTTAGCTTTTTGGA